GCAAAATATTTCCGCTGTGTAAATCTCTGTGAACGAGTTCCTGCGAATGAATCGACTCGAGATCCAAAGCTATACCGCATAAAATATTTAATTTATCTTTCCATTCCAATTGTGATACTTCCACAAGATTTTGTCGTAACGAACCATTTGATGCAATCTTCATAACAATAATATAATTACCAAAATTATTTTTTGACACTCCAAAACAGTTCAAGAACGAAGGATTCTCGTATCCAATTTCACAATAATTTCTCAATTCCTGGATAAATCCTTGTTCATTTTTGTTTGAATCACGAATCACTTTAAGAGCAACATACCAACACGTAAATTCTATCGAACCAACGTGCAGAATATACAGTTGCGAATCCTCCCTTTCCCTTTTCTTTGATAATTTTGAACTCATTATAATCAATCCAAGATAATTTAAATCTCTCATCGTCTAATATTCTTTTAAGTTCATGATTGATATTATCTGGTGATTTATTAGTTTTCAAAAGTCTTCTATATTTTTTGAACCAATAATTTGCACTCTGAATATCTCTTTTTGTATTAACACCATTTCGATAAAATCGTGCAATACTATACATTGCTTCTTTAATACCCATATTAGCAGATTTTTGATAGTATTCAAATGCTTTATTATAATCTTGATCAACCCCATCCCCAAATTCGTAACGAACACCAACACTACACATTGCCATAGCATTATCTAAATCAGCAGATCTCTTATGATATTCAAACGATTTCTGGAAATTTCTTTTTACTCCAATTCCATGACGATAACAAATACCAACTTCATGCATCGCAACCGGATTTCCTAACTCAGCTGCTCTCATATAATATTCAAAAGCCTTCTTTTCGTCTTTTTCAACACCAATACCATGTTGATAATTGTAACCAAGTTCACATAGTTGGTCAGAGTCCATTTTTTTAAAGGAGAAAAAAAAATTTACGCCTAAACTGAATGCAAATTTTATTGTCTAAAGTGCAACGGAGGACATTTTATGTTTAGTCAAAGTGGTACAAAAGTTACACGTTTTTAATTATTTCATTAGTTGTCATATATTGTAGCATCAAAATGAAATAGTTTTTCGGTACGCATAGTGTAACAACCAAATGAAGTCATAGCCCATTCATTAATGCATTAAGCAAAAATGTTCAGCTGATAATTTTCTATAGACGTAGTTACCGTAAACTGCCGTATAAACGACCCCCCACATATCAGACCCCCTATGAACTAGACCCGGGTCTATAGTATGGGGTCAATTTTTGGTAAAATGTAAAAGACCCGGGCATACAAATAGGAATAAATATTTAGAAGACCCGGGTATGATACTGTGTTCAGGTATATAAATAAAATAAACCAATCAGAAGAATTATTATAACAATAAAAACTTTTCGCGCTTAACATTACACAGATCCACATATTATATGTATCAGTTTTTTTTTTTTTTATTACGTTTATTATTATTATTATTAATCTACCTTTTTATATATGTAGGGTGTATTTTTTTGGTGTGCCGATCTTTCTTTCGCTTGTCGTTGCTTGTAGATGTCCATCGTAGGAGTTGTTGCTTGTAGATGTCATACTCGTAGGTGTCATAAGTGTCATCGTCGTAGGTAGTTGCTTGTATGCGTTGTCGTTTTGTATCCGTCTTCCTAACAATCTTCTTTACGAATATAATTAATGATCAAACCTACTGATATTGAGCCAACGATTACTTACAGAGATCATACAGCAGCCGTAAATTCAGGTGGTCATTGCTTCAGAACAGTAAAATGTTATTCGACTAGTATAGATTCTACACTTCGTGTATGGGACCTGCCACCACCAAAACGAGACACTTACGGACCCATTGGTAATTATAGTTATATATATATGTACACATTATTGACATTGTATTTTTTTAAGAAAATTTCTCTTATCAGAACTTAATTCTTATTTATAGATTCACCGTTAAACTTGACCACTTACATGGGTCATATGGATACTGTATGGGATTTTAGATTGTTCCCTATTCGTACCGTAAATTAAATACTAGCTTTTAGCATCCGCAAAATTTGGAATACAGAGGCGGAACGATCGCCCTTGAAAAGTTCATGGGGATGTTGCGGTAGCAACGGCGAACTACCAGTAATGGAGGTATATTGATGTTTATTATCTTAATTTTTAGTTTTATATTTCGGGACCTTGAAAATTAACAAGTCCAAAAAACTTAAGTTTACTGTTATGATTTTTTTTAAGCAATCACGCGAAGGACCAGATTGACTATGAGTACAAGGTTCTGTTACAAAGGACAAATTATTATATAACAGATAAAATATAATTTATGGATTCATAATTACCGTATTAGATTTCCAGTGTGATAAAGTTGCATTTTTCTCGAGAACAGGATAAATGGAAAAATTATTGGCATTGCTATTATTTTATTACCCACGTCAATTTGTACGCAACCCTTATCATGAGCAAATAAAACACTGATATCACTATAACTGTTATAAATAGCAAATTCTGGACCTTTGACACGGCTCAAAATAGAATTTGGGATTGTTTATATCATGCATATTTATTTATTTCTTAATGTTCCTAAATAATCGGATTAATTTCTAAATGATCTATTTAATTCGCAAGCAAATTACATACAGTAATTACTCTATTGTTTAAAGACTTGAAATCCATCGTACAGTAAATTGTCCCATGATTATTATTCCTATTTAAAAGCTGCAAGTTATTCTTCATATTTGTTCACTATGCAATCAATTGAGTGGATGAGAAGGGTTTTTCTTAATCCCACATAAAAACGTATTCAGAAATTTTATCATCATAATATGAATCTTTATTGCTTTCTTGATTATTCGAATTCTTGTCACTTTCTTGGTTATTCAAATTAAATTGCTCGTCTAACTCGTCTAAGTTTAAATAATTTAACATTTTTTTCAATTTTTTTTTCTAAAAAACAAATTTTTTTACTTTACCTTCATTCCAATTATCTTCACCCTCTTCCTGAATATTATAATTTTCATTTTCATACTCATTCTCGTCTTCACTATCATTATTTTCACCATTGCTATCATATTCACTTCTTTCATCTGAGCTACTATAATCGTCACTATTATTGCCTTGAGTTAAATCAATAGCATCATTATTTTCGCTTAAATTATTAAAATATATATGATTATCACTTTCATTTCGACATTCTGGATCAGCAACCCAATTATAATAAACAAAATTTCCTCTTCGGATCAATCTTGAGCAGTAGATACGCCACAACACTTGAATGACCGTTTGATAAGATTGGGGTCAACATGGTCCCATGCCTCTTTTATTCATCTGGCTACTAAATTATAAGCAGGGCATTAAATACGACCTGCAGGTATCGATTTTTTAATTTTCTCTTCTATCCAATTAAGATAGTACTTATGATACTTAAAAAAAAAAAGTATTGTTACGGTTAATTTAAAAATTAGCCGTAATAATAATTATGTAATTTAAATATTCTATTTTTATTTATTTAAATAAATTTGCATTTTTTAATTAAAAAAAAAATTACTTTACCTCCTCTTTAAAAGATTTATTGATATATACATCCAATGGTTGCAATTTTTAGTAAGTCCGCCTGGAATAATTGCAATATTAGTATTTTTTTCTTTAAATTGATTTTTAACTAGATCTGTAAAATGGCCACAGAATCCATCGAGAACAAGTAATAAACAAGGATCAACAGATAAAGGAGCCCAACGTTTCTAGATATTTTCAATCCAAAAAAGCATTTCACTTGAATTCATATATCCTTCTGGATTGGTTTGTATAACAATACCTGGTGGAAATATTTGCCATGGTACCTTCACTAATTTGAAAATTATCATAGGGGGCAATTTGGTTCCATTAGCTAAGTAACTTAAAACAACTGTAAAATTAGATTTCTCGTATCTAGTTGTATAAATTCCAACTGTATGAGCACCAGTTTCTTCAAGCTTATAGTTACTTGGCATGTCAAATGCTAATGGAGTCTCATCCATATTTTTGATGAGAGAAAATGGATAATTATAAAGCATTTGATGATATAATACATTACTCAAAAATGTATCATGTAAAGGTTTTTTTTGTGCTACAATAGTACAATGCCTATTGCTTAAATTATTTCAGTGCATAAAACTTTTGATCCATCTATCACTCCATTTGCACTCATTGATTGTAAGATAAAGTAAAGTAAAATGGGGTTGTCTTGCAAGTTGTTTTTTTTTTGGTTTTAGCTATATTTTGGGATACAAGTTTTTGGTTTGAACATAAAGATTTAATCCAAGCTAAAAGTTCAACTTCTAAAAGTGGGTATTTGGGATAAGCACCAACATTTAGCCATTTAATAATAGGTGGAGCACTTTTAAATTCTTGTTTTTTTTTATCTATTCACGCAACTGGTTTCTTGTTATATTAAATTTTCGAGCAATACTATGCTTGCTAGCCATGAGATTTTTTTTATAGTATGTAATGATTGCTAATTTCTCTCACATATTCCAACTTCTTTTTTTTTAGTAATTTTTGCTTGTTTTGGAGGTTTATTTTTATGCTGTCCTATTTTACTTAAATATATATGTATGTATTAATTTATAATTTTACTTGTATTCAAAAAGAAAATAAGAAATCTTACTTTTGTATTTTGGTAAAAAACTTGTTCTATCCAGGATAAGACAAGAATGTTAATCACGATTAAAAAATTTTTTTTTTATATATCGTGAATAAAATAATCATGCACATGTATTTTATATTAATAAGTCAATTAAATTATAAGTTTGACCTTATGATCGGATACTATCATTATCTGTGTAATTCATCAAGATTCTCACAATGTTAATTATTATTCACCTTCCTTTTTTTTTTTTAATTATAGTTCGTGATTTTTTTAAACATTTTATAATTACCAAGGAAACTTAAATTCGAAATGCACATATTATAATTAATATGACAATGAAGTAAGATATCTATAATGTGGAGCAACAAAAGGTGGTAAGTATAAATATGGATACTAATAATTGCACAAAATAATTTCAAATTAAGCACACAACCTATAGTCAAATAATTTTTATTTATAGTAAACTTTTGTATTTCTTAATAATCGTAATAGCATAGTATATAGCTAATAGTTAACTAGGTTCGTAGCTTTTTTTTTTTTGAAAGCTTTTTTTTTCGAAGTAGCTACTTAAGCAGCTAATATATTGAAACTTGCATTTGAGACAACATATGCACTTTCAAGACCAAAGTAAAGAGATTTGAAATTTAAAACTTGTATAATATGAGAGAATTTAATTTACTATAAGGATAGTGTATGAAGTATAAATATAAAAAAAAAGTATTGTATAGTAATCAAAATTCGTTGAGAGTAATAATTCTTATAACTAAACTTGGATTCTGTTGTACATATTTGTATAGTCATAGATATGAAGGTTTAGAGGTTTAATACTTTTTTTAATACTGTAATACAAGTATGGTAATAATTTTTTTTTTGTTAAAGCATTATAATAATTAGATATATTAAATAAGACCAATAAATTAAAGTAAATAGATTATAGGAAAATGTAAGTGAAAATTAAATTAGATAAATTAAAGTAAATGGGTTATAGTGAATAGTAAGTAAAAATTAAATTAGATAAAAAAAAAATTATATAATAAAGTTATACTTTTTATTTATTTCAAAATTACAATTTAAATATAAATTATATTTTATTATTTAATATTTTAATAATTGTTAATTTAAAGATTAGAAAATGAATATCGATTACAAGTTTTTATAAATTAAAAAAAATTCATCAATGCTAAAAAAACTTTTA